CGGTCAACTGGAAGGCTCCACTCTTCGCCACTGGCACCTCTACCCGACCCTGGTATCCGTCAGTAATCCTCAAGGTAGCAGGAGCGGGTGCCGCCACTTGTCCTGCTGATGCTGCTAAACTGGGACACTGGGCCTTCTTGTGGCCCCTCTGATTGCACTGGAAGCAAATCAGAGCAGATACTAAAGTGGTGGTGGTGGTAGCAGTAAAATCCCTGCTAACATGACCAGTTCGGCCACACTTAAAGCAGCCCGAACTACCTGCCCTGCATGCCCCCATCATGTGTCCTGCCACACTTGCCATAACAGCGTCGGCCCTGTTGGCCCTTCCCTCGGGAATCTACCTTGGGCTTCTTGCCCGAACCCTCCACACTAGAGGCAGCATCTAGTTTCCTCTTCCTCTCCATTTGTAAATCAATCTCCCTCTCCCTCTCCCTAGCTCTCACTATCATATCCTTCATCGTCTTGTAGCTGGATCGACTCACAAACTGTTGAATGTTGCTCCTCAACATCTTATGGTACCGGGCATTTTTAATCTCCTAGTCCACCACATACTGCGGAACAAGAAGGACCCTCTCCCTGAACATAACAGTGATCTCGGTTACCATCTCAGTCATCTACTGGAGATCATGGAAATCCTTAACAAGCTGCTGCACCTCAATCACAGGTGCAAACTCGGCCTTGAACCTAGCTGAAAAGTTACTCCAAGTCATAGCATCAAGAGATGCATCATCACCAATGGCATGTCCGACCTCCTCCCACCAGTCACATGCCCTGTCCTTCAGAAGACAGGAAGTGAGTCGGACCTTGTTCCCCTCGGGACATCAGATCGTACGGAAGGCATTAATGATATCAGCTAACCATCTACTGCTAGCAATGGGGTCCCGAGCCCCATGATAGTCGGGAGCTCCACAAGCTCTGAACTCCCTGAATGTCAGTGTGCGCAACCCCATCATGGCCGCCACCTCAGTGTGGAATGCACTCGGTATCTCATCTAAAAGCTCTAAGATACCCTCCTTGATCGTACCGAAGATCACAAGAATCTGGTCTAAAATATTGTGCGTGACCTTAGAGGAAATAAACTCTCTCTTCTGCTTGTCGAACTTCCCGACTCCAGAGCCCGATCCTGGTCCCTCACTGGCACCTGAACTGCTGAGTGGCCTAGTGCGTAGCATCACCATACTAAAAATACACCATAACAAACACAATATACACATCATAACTTGAGGAATCTCACATACTGCAAGTTTCATGGATTCATTTCAGTCTTCCTTGATTCGCGTACAGATCCTCTGCTTTCAGTAGTACGAACCCATACTAACTTCCACATCTATCCGTACTTTCCTCAAGAACTGCCTTGACTCCACTAAATCCCTTCTACTACTACTGTTGTTCTCACACTAATCTCATCCTAGGTGTGACAACCCGAATTTTCTTTTTCTATGAACCATTTAAAATCAACCGATTCGGAATTATTTCTGCTCTTAGCATTATTTTGAGTCTAATTAAATACTCTAAACTCAGTACAATCAAGGTTTGGGTCTAAGAATGAATTTTTCAAAGTCATATCATAGCATCTGGGCCAAACTCCCCTTCGAGAGGAGTGTACGGCCGCAAACTTGAGTTTACGGCCATACACCCCCACTCACCCCTTTGGCCGAAAACTCACCCCTATATAAGGGATGCTTAGCCTTTATTTCACACTTTACTCACTTCAAGGCTTTCTCTCTCTACTGTCTCTCTACATCCGTCGATTTTGCTTAAGGATCCTCAAGAAAGTAAGTGATTCTCCATCTTGATTGTGTTTTAATCTCTTATCTTGTGATGAATCCATGTTCCTATCTCATTAATCTCATCTTTGTCTAGATCTCCTCTCTCACCAAGAACACTAAGAACACACACTAGTTCTTGGTTGCTAAAAACATCATTCCAAGCTCCTAATAGTAAGTAACTACTTCCTATGCTTGATATCTACTAGAAATCCTTGATTTTCACCTAGAAATCGACCCAAAAGACATGATCACGAAGGGTGACTATCGTAATCCCATGTGTACGACTGTACACAACTCATGAGTCGTATACCCATTGGGCCGTAAACCCATGGACCGCAAACACCTAGGCTGCAAACTCTTAGGCCGAAAACCCCATTGGGCCGCAAACCCATGACTGTACACCCCTTTTATGACCACAAACTCATCTCCTTCAATTACATTTGATTCTAACACTTAGTTACAAGTGTTTCCTAGTCCCTAAGGTGGTTTCCTTCTATAAAAACTAGTGTTATACCCTTATCTAATTCATATATGTGCTACTCTATGTTAAATAGGATCCATTTGTGTCCGAGACTTCATTTGACACTCAACATTCCTATCGACTCACCTTCAAATCCCACGTCAAACTGTGAGTTCATACCCTATGCTTTCATGGTTTTTAAACGTTTTCAGGGGGAATACAAGCCAAACATAAAGGTTTTCAATGGATAAGAACTTATTCAATTTATACAAATCATCGGTTTTCATAAAGTGTTTAGATAGTTAATCCCTTTTGTATTATGCGGATCATAAGGGACGTTTTCTAAATTTAATTGCATAGTTTCTGAACATTTAATGAACATAACATTACAATTAAACAATAATGGATATAGTTTGAGGATTTCATTACCAGTTTTACAGATGCAAACTACTACACGGTTGAATAGATAAACTATGACAGATTTAGTTTATAACATACATTACTACGAGAGCACAACAATAAATAATTATTTTAGTATAATTATTTTTACTCTACAAAAATACATTGAATTCACATACGAAAGAACTTTACGCTCATATATTATTACTTGTAAAGTCATTAACCTTGTTGGGAGACAAATCCTTGGGCTCTTACAACATTAACTAAGTGGAGGACTACCCTTATGAACCAGAGTTTCCTGGATGGAAAGCGTAGATTTTGTGTATAGATCTATACGGGACTGACTATCCCGCACCTTGCTGCTAGCTACAGTCAGAGCGGCAGGTCTACGGGTGATAGATGTCATAAAGTGTATCGGCGTCCGTTTCACGTCATATCAAGTTTAAGTATGGTCATAAAACTCGCCAATAATACGACACTTTTATGTAATAATATACTTCTCATGAACAATTGCTTTAATATCATAAGTGTAGTACTTACACCTTACAGTTTTTAAATCATTAAAGCAACAAACACATGTATACTAGGGAAAATAAGGGATTTTCCCAGACCCAACAACATACTTTACATACTGGCGGTAGCCAGGGTTTTCAAACGGAACATACTTTACATACTGGCGGTAGCCAGGGTTTTCAAACGGAACATACCTTACATACTAGCGGTAGCTAGGTTTTTCAAACGGAACATACTTTACATACTGGTGGTGGCCAGGGTTTTAAAAAGATACAAATCATACTTTACATATAATGAAAATCAATCATTCATACAAATTCAGTGGCTAGTTTTCATTACAAAAATATGCTTATGAACTCACCAGCTTTATGCCGATACGTTTTCAAAACCACTTGTATTCTCAGGACAACAATAGACAGGTACTCTTGCCAACTTTTGGAGAAGATGGAGCATTTTGGAGTCTCGTCTTTTACTTTTGTTAGATACTAATGTATACAAACTATGTTTTTCAAACAAATGTAAATATTCATATGTAATGTATGGTTGTATTTACTTTGATTACTATGATGCAATTGTTGTGATACTACGCATGACGCCATCCAATTCCGGACGTTTCCGCCGTTTGTTTTTACGGTTCGGCGGTGTGACACTAGGCTTACCCCAGGGCAAGATTGTAAAAAACGCTCGACGTTAGCTAGTCGATGGACTAGGGTTAATGGATTAATCGGCTAGGCAGAGATTAATCGGGGACCATTAATTACTAATTTGTTGAATTTTAAAAAATTAAATATGACTAATATCACATCAAAGTACCTAAATACCACTAATATGACAACAAAATAGGTTAATATGATTAATATAACACTAATCATGCCTCAAATAGTTTCCATTGCGATAAAACTTCTTCAAAATGCTAAAATTTCATCGTTTTATAATGTTTCACTCATTATGTATGCAAGTATTAATCGCTAGGCACCCTCTAATCAGTCGAGTAGCGCCTAGGGATTAATCGGGACCTAGTCGGAAATTTCACAACAGTCCCCCAGGGTAATCACCAACCCACTCTTCACCATCAGCTGCATAAGAAGTGCCTGCTATCTACCCCTAACTAGATCGCGAATACCATTATATAGCACTACTAGATAATTCTTCGAATGAGAGTTCCTACCCTACTACGGTTGGACTAAAATAAGAGCTGCGAAATAGTGCTAGACCTAACCTTCAGAAATTATTTTGTCCTCGCAATATGTAACTTAACATATTCATTTACTAGTTAGTAGAAGACAAATAGAACTCCTAAAAGCACAAAGCAAGCATTATTCGAGCATTGGGTAAACATAATCAAGCATATCTCATTCAGGCCATCACCGACTAATTTGTACTAGCATGCAGTTCATAAACTTGATATACATATAACATGCACATAAGGCATCCTTCTTAAATCCTTAGCCCTAATCTAGCATGCAGTTCTCATAAACATATCATAACATATACTTATATGGGTAATTTAGGAGTACTTACTTGAGCTTGATTGATTGATTGCACCACACCCTTTTCTCTTTTCAAAGTTCTTTTTCTCTTTTCAAATTTCTTTTCTATCTTCAAAATCCTTTTTATATAAAAATGATTTTCTTTTGAAAATTTTCATACCAAGTTCCTAGTTTGAGTCCAGACACACCCGAGAGTGTACCCAAATCCCTCAAACCAAGGCTCTGATACCAACTTGAAACACCCCAAAAATACAGTCCACAAAATTCGTTTTAAATCATTATAAATCATAGTAATCCACTCATCAGATAAAAAAAATAAGTGGTAATATCTCAAAACATCATGTCAAAACACTGTATCCAAATCATATATCAAAACATCATAGTAAATCCTCCCAGGCTAAAATGTTGTCGCTTCACTTTCTTCTTTGGAGTCTGGACAGGTTTGTACGGACCAACTTTCCCCTTTTGTTTACCACCATTCTTTGGCTTATCAACCTCGTCAAGTACCTTTCGTATTTCATCAGTCATTGGTCTTGGACCAGAATGTGATACACTGCGATAGGCTTGAATTACTTCACTCGTAGTAGGGATGTAGCGAAGCATTGATTCTGGTATTGATCCAATAAAGGCGAATTTGGTAGTGTCTAACAGAATGATGTTGGTGGCATGGAAAACTTGAATGTTAGCCATAATCGAACCCTCATTTACTGGAATGTTGAGGCGATTGATAGCCCGTTGTACATCAAGTGTCCGAAAATGTGCACATAAAATTTCATTATGTCTAGTTATGGAAATCGTACTCTGAACCAGTTGAGCCCAAAGCATCGATCCATAGTCAAGATTGGCTCCTAAGTAAACACCATACATGATGGTCATAAACAGCTTGCTCGCACAGTCTGAGCCTGTTACCCTTTTAGAGAGAATTTTAAAAAGCGAGGTGAATAGAGCATTCCATACATGTGGAAGATTAGGCTTCTTGAATTTGGAGACAATGGCTAAATACTCCCTGTAGCCCATTTGATAGAACATCTCCAAGCGAGTAGAGTTAAGGATAGATTCCAGATTGACTAGGTCACGACCTTGAGGAAGTCCTAGGAGGTTACAGAACCTGGGCTTAGTGATCTGGGTTTTCTTGTTTTCGACTTCAAAAGTGATCATATCTTCCCCTTGTTCGTAGCTAGCAGTCAAATATGCCTTAGATAGATGAACCAGAGGTATATTCTCAATTTTCATAAGGGTGATTACTAGTGGTGAATAGCTTAAGAAATCTATGAGAGGTTGAAGAAAGATGTCGTACTTGGTATGTTCAAGGTCTAGGATGAGATTCTGGTTTGCCTTGATGTTCAACAGTGTTGATTGTGCCATCTGTTCAACGATTGAAGGAATTTCAGAAGAGGATGCCATTGTTGCTTGGTGAAGAAGATGATAAACAGTAGAGAGAGAAATTGTCGAGTGAATATTGATTGTTTTTTAAAGTGGTAATAAACAATGAAGCGTTGAAATCCTTATATATGATTTGATAAGAGAGAAAAAAATCTACGGTTGATGATCCCAATCACTGAAAAAGCACCTAAAAAGACGTGACTGACAGTTGTGATGTCAGGCGGCGTAACTGACAACAGGATTCATTTCAGTTTTCACGCGCCCAAATTCTAATATTATCCATAAATACCGCCATTTCAGTTGCTAACTTTCACAGTTTCATACTTTCGCAATTCCAAACTTTCACAATTTCTTATGTTCGCAATGTATCACCATTTACTGTACTCCGGACCTAAAAGTAAAAATTAGGGCAATGAACCACAATTTTGAAAATCAGAAAGACCTTCGTGCAAGAGTGTGCCAAAGATAAAGAAATAAAACAAGTTCTCTAAAGGATTCTAGTGATGTCATTAAAGACATAAAGCAGATGGATCCCGGGCAATGATCTCTTCCTTCGCAGTCAAAAGAGACTTTGAAGTGCTTGTGTGGTGTCCTGTTGAATTATGATCATCTGCTTGTGGAAAAATAGCAAAAGGCTTCTTTTAATAAGTTAAAAGGCGTGGCTTTTTCGTCAACTAAGTATGAAACTCAAAATAAGTCCAAACGTTCGTATGAAGTACTTGTCTGATCAGTGTAGCCGTGAGAACAAGTATGCTTTAGAATTATTTTAGTAGTTGGATAATATGGAAATCTCAAGAAAAAATAAAAATTGGATCTTATGGGAAGAAAAGTATTAGGTCTATAACATTTCATTCAGATCTCGCAAAAATAAAAGGAGATTTCAGGGTACAAACCACGAAGGTGGACATTCGTTAATTCCTTGGTGAAAAATATAGAATGTGTTTATTGTTCATCGTCAATTCTTAAGCATGTGTTGGATTTTGGGTTTCACTCAATTCGTGGTGATAACAAATTTAAGATCATAAACACATAATTTGTGTAACCATAAACCTCAGTGGTAATATTTGAGAGTCTCAATGGTTACATTCATGAATGTGAAAGTGATGAATATGTAGTGGGATGTGGTTCCAAAGAAAAATGTAGTTCTGCTATGAGAAAGTGATCAAGCAGTCAACTCTTAACTCAATATGAGGAGAGTAAGGTAGCTTATAACTTATGTGAAAAACAACCTATTTGGGAAGAAACAATTGGTGTTATCGATTCATTAAGGATTCAACATAGAGTCTTAGAGGCTTTAGACTACATGCAACAACATGCTTCTAGGGACACTTAACTAGTTCATAGTTTCGAAATATTTACCTGCCCCATCATTCATAATTGAGATTATCATGATATGTGTTTTCAATTATGCTAAATTATCTAATATTTTTGGTATTTTTGAATATTTTATGAAAGGAAATAGGAATTGAAAATAAAGAAAATATTTTCATATTTTTGTTTTTCTAAAAAAGAAATAAGAACAAAAAGAAATAAAATATATTTTTGGATTTTCAATTTCTGAAAATGAAATAAAAACAGAAAAAATGTAATATGTAGCAATAAAGAAAAATGTAAAAAGGATACATGAAGTTTCGAACCACGAATGAATAGTAGAATGCGAGTCACTGCGAACATTTGCACCAATTCGTAGTGTGAACAGTGGATTGCAAGTCACAGCGAACCTTCGCACCAATTCATAGTTCGACCAAAACTTTAAGACTACGAAGGTAGTTTCGGAATTGATTCAGCCTCAATCATTCATAAGCCTTGAAGAATGCGATTAAAGGTTTGTTCAGGTAAGGCTTTTGTGAAGATGTCATCCAGATGATTAGCGGATCTAACAAAGTGTATCTCGACAGTTCCATCTTCCACGTGATCTTTGATGAAGTGATACCTCAGTGCAATGTGTTTGGTCTTAGAGTGTTGCGTTAGATTGTGGCATATGCGAATGGCTCTCTCAGAATCGCAATACAAGGGGATTTGCTTCATATTGATACCGTAGTCACGAAGCTGACTTTGAATCCAGATTACTTGTGAACTACAAGAGACATCGACTATGTACTCTGCTTTAACAGTTGATATGGAGAGTCATGTTTGTTTCTTTGATTGCCAACTAACAAGTTTTCCATCAAGAAATTGACATCCTCCCATTGTACTCTTCCGATCTAAACCGCAACCTCCAAGATCAACATCCAAAAACGCTTCCACAAAGAACCCTAAACTGGAAGGGTACCATATTCCGAGCGAGGAGGTTAGTTTAAGATACATGAATATGTTCTTAACAGTAGTCATATAGGGCTCGCGAGAATTCGCTTGAAACCTAGCACAATAGCAAACAGAAAACATGATGTCTGGACGACTAGCGGTTGGATACATCAATGACCCTATCATTTGATGATAGAGTGTCATATCAGCACCCGGTTTGTCCAAAGACGGTGTTAGTTTCGTTCGGAATGCCATTGGAACCTTCACCTTCGAATCACCCACCATTCCAATCTAAGCAAGTAAGGTCTTCGTGTAAGCCTCGTGGTTGATAAAGTTTCCCTCCTAACTCTGTGTTATGTTCAAACCAAGGAAAAAGTTAATTCAACCCATAGAGCTACTCTCAAATTTAGTTTCCATCAACTTTCGGAACTCAGTAGTTAAACTGGGATTTGTAGAACTGAAGATGATGTCCTTACATAAACTTAGATAATCATCAAATGGTCACCATTTTTCTTGCGAAAGAAGGTTGGGTCAACCAAACCTTGTTTAAATTTATCTTATTTTAAGAATCTAGTAAGAGTTTCATACCATGATCGTGGAGCTTGCTTTATACCATAGACTTAATGTCTATTTGAAAGACTTCAAAGTTCTTGTGAGCTGCATGCACTAGAAAAATGCGAACAAACTTGCAACTAGTGTGAATGTTTCTTCGTAGTCAATGCCTTCTTCTTGGCAATACCCCTTAACAACTAGTCGCGCCTTGTTTCGTATCACATTTCTATCTTTGTCTAGTTTGTTACGAAAAACCCATTTTAGACCGACAACTAATACATCCTTCGGAGTGCGAATCAATCCCCAAACCTTCTTTCGTTCGAACTCATTGAGCTGCTTGCACACTATCCGAATGATCAAGAGAAATTTTAATGTCTTTGGGCTCAATCTTGGAGATAAACAAATTAAACATACAAAATTCCATTTTGGAGAATATGCAGTCCGATTCGCTTTTTGTTGTGCCCTTGTAAGAACTCCTGCATAGGCTTCTCCAATTACTTGTGTTCTGGGATGATCCCTAGTCCATTTGGTGAAAGGAGGGTAATTTGGATCATATGTTGGATCCAATTCAACATTTACATCCTCAAATTCTGACTTCACATCCGAATCATCATTCGTATTGTCATTTCCCCCCTCGAATGATGTATTTTCTTCTTTATTCTGAGTTGAACCCTCCCCCTGGAGTGGAGATTCTAAGTTGATTTCAGGGGTTTCATTCTCCCGCTGAACATGTGTATGAGATGAGGAGGTTTGAAGTGAAGCCCTCCCCCTGCAATGTAGCATTTACAACTTTTGATTGAGATGGAATTTAAGAGTCTTTCGGAGTGGGGTGCTCGTGTTCCATTTTTTCGCAACATCATCAATAATATTTTTAAATTCGTCTTCTTCGTTATCTGCTGCCTTGGATTCTGAAGAAATTGCCTTGTCGGGTTCATGAAATAAGTGTCATCAAAGGTGACATAGTAGGTCTCTTCGATTATTTTTGATCTTTTGTTTACAAACCAATATGCCTTCGACGTTAAAGAATACCCCAAGAAAATTCCTTCGCCAACTTTCTCATCAAATTTGTTCCCTTGTTCCTTAGAATTAAAGATGAAGCACCTGGAACCAAAGACATGGGAAAACTTAACATTAGGTTTTATATTATTAAGAATTTCATAAGGAGTAACAGAAAATCGCTTATGGAGGATTGATCGATTTTGAGTAAAGCAGGTTGTTCCAATAGCATCTGCCTAGAAGTACAGTGGCAGATTCACAAATGATAGCATGGTTCTCGCAGCTTCATGCAAAGATCGCTTTCGTCTTTCAACGACCCCATTCTGTTTAGGAGTGTAAGGAGCCGAAAAGTTGTGAGTTACTCCTTTCGTAGTCAGAAAATTTTCAAATGCTTGGTTTTTGAATTCTAAACCGTTGTCAATGAGAATGTTACGAACCATCTCTAGTAGTTGTATTTCATTCTGCTTTATAAAACCCTTAAGCTTGGGAATGGCTTCAGATTTCTACGTAAGAAAATGCACCCAGGTAATTCTAGAAAAATCATCAACGATTAAAAGTATATATTTGTTACCACCAATGCATTCAATTGGAGAAGGACCACAAATATTTATATGCAAAAGTTCAAGTGGTTCTATGACTTTGGTGTTCACAACTTTTGGATGACTCTTCCTACTCTGCTTCCCTAATTCGCAGGCTGCACAAAGATGTTCTTTATCTAATTTCAAGAGTGGAATCCCTCACACATGATCACCAAGTACGAGTATATTGATGTCTTTGAAATTAAGGTGCGAGAGTCTATGGTTCTACAACCAACTATCATCCGAAGAAGCTTTTGTAGGTAGGCAGATAACATGTTTCCCTTTGGTGGGATTCAAATTAAGTGGATACATCTCACATTTTCGCTTTGATTTCAACATCACAGTTTTGGATTTCTTCTCAATTATCTCCGATCCTTCATCGTCAAACGAAACTTTCAAGCTTGTGCCTACAACCAATTGTGATAAACTAATTAGGTTGTGTTGCAGGCCTTGCACGTATGCTACCTTGTGAATGGAAATTTCCCCATTCGTGATCATTCCGTATCTCTTGATTTCTCCGAGTGTATTATTACCAAACTTATCCCTTCCTCAATCCTTCTGAGCTCTAAACTCTCTCAACTCTTCGTTCCTTCGTGTCATGTGACGCGAGTAGCCACTATCAATATACCATTCAGAGTCAAACTGCTCATC